GATGTTTCTAACTCTCTATCTCTCTCCCTTCCTCTCTGTAAAAAATCAATAAAATATATATTTTTTTAAAAAAAGAAAATAATTTTATGGTTGGGGGTCACCACAACATGAGGAAACGTATTAAAGGGTCGCACAGCATTAGGAAGGTTGAGAACCACTGAAGAATCTAGGCTAATGGACATGAGTTTCCAAAAGAATAAAAACAATGGTAGGCAGGCACTGCAGGAGCCTCACACTTTTCTCATCAGATAATTGAGACCTCACCCTCAGTTTGACCAGCGAAGGCGTGCAGTTAGTTCAGTTTGCTCCATCTGAAAGGTCGCCCACCGTATAGTGTGCATTTTATTGATGAGGATAATGTGTGTATAAGAACCGAACATACCTACTTGCCTACTTTTAGGATGATGCTCGTTGGCTTCCCTGTAGATAGGACACTGCATGTTAACAATAATTGCTGTGGAAGAGTTTCAGCTGATTTTCAGCACATGCTTTCTTAAAGAATGCAAAATGTTTTAGTTCTGTCCCATTCATACTTTTGATGGCCTGAGACCTTTGGTGCTAACTAAGTTAGGGTTTATGTGTTCTTGAATAACTTACCAGGAAATGCTATTTGCTGCTGGGAAGCCTCTGTCCTCCGTGGCAGCCGGTCCTAGGAAGGAGTCTGAAATTCACAGGACAGTTCCTAATAACCTAATTGTGATAATGGACAATTGTTCGCCTGATTTATCAGAAAGAAAGGGGAACTTGAGTAGTAAGCAAGCATACCTTGGCTCCTGGGTACCCTGAGGAAATTCCTACATTTACCCCTGAATGTGGAAAAAAATCCCAAAAGGAGAGATGAGAAAGCAGACAAGTTAGTTTTAAATTGTGGGTGGTACTTCTATTGTGTGTGCTATGGATTTTCCTCCTCTTGGTTTTCATTGGATAGCTCCTTGCAGGCAGTTTTAAAAAGACTCAGAAAGATGGAGCAGAGAACTTGTGCGTACGCGATAAACTTACGACTTAAGGGCTCCAGGAGGTACACATCCTCTCTGAGAGGGTTTTATTATTTTAAAATAATTGTTTTTAAAAGGGAATGTGTAATAAAAGAGAAGTATCTTTTCTTGATTGACTGTGTGTATAAATTTATTTTTTGGTCTGTGGCCACAAGTACTATTTAAGCACTTTAAAAATATATACACACATGCATTTACGTCACTGATACTTGAATATGCAGATGAACCCCTATGTAGCCCTCCTGGCTCATCTGAGTGATAAATTCTGCCGTCCGTTCTTTATGGTGGTAGGTCATATTCTTAACCACCAATAAATATTGTAAAGTACTTTCTCTGCAGCCATGCTAACCCAGGGCATCTGTCATTCCGGTTGCTGCTATTAGGAATTATTGGACTGAACCACTGGTGGAGAAAGCAGAGGGGGGTGAGCATGGCAGTTGTGACACTCTCTGCCCTTTTGTGTATTTTGCATAAAAAACCCAATCATGTTGCATATTAATTATAAGCCAGTGTGGGCAAATGCGGGCCCCTTGTGCTGGATGCGGCTCAGAGCAGGAGCTGGGGGCTCCGCCAGCCAGGCCCTCTCAGTTCCCAGGTCAGCAGATCCATCTTGCTGATGCTATACTGTAAATTTATTTCACCTCGGAGAGTAAACAGATATATTGAGCCCCAAGGGTTCATGGGTAGCGTATTTACAAAGGAGCCTCTCTGCCAGCCCGTGCCACCGCTGCTAATGAGAGCGGTCATTAAGTAAATGAGACGCTGCCTTTCGCTGGCTTAGGAGCCCGCACACTGAGGGGAGAAGATATTTAATTGAAACCCGCACACAGGCTTCCCCACATGTGATGCCTGGCAGGCAGCTGCCTGCCCCTCCTCCCGTCCACCCTGCACCCCCCATGTAAATTTCATGATTGCTTTCCGTGATGTCATTTTGAAAGAGGACAGACAATAGCTGTGGGGAAAGGTAAGTCAATGTTATGTTCTTTCGCGGACAAAGGCAGATCCTGGGTGCTTAGCTCCCCCCTCGGACGGACAGGGACAGGGGCTGGGCGTGCGAGCAGCTAGCTGCCGGGATGAAGGCTTTCTCTGCAGGGGGAGCAGGTCGGGGGCGGCTCTCCAGAGCTGCTCCGTTGGGCCGAGGCGCTCTCCTCCTCCGGGGTCTGCCGGGGCTGGTTCCCTCCCCTCCCGGTCCCTCCCTGCTCACTCGCAGGCTTGGCCTCTGAGTCGAGTGGACACTGCATCTCCCGGGAAAGACATTGGGGGACCCGGTAGCCAGGCGAGAAACTTCACGTGCATTTCTGGAAGAGGAGCGGGGGTGCCTGCAGCTGTGGGACCGCGGCTGTGGCGGAGAGGACGCCGCCTCCGTCAGCAGCAGATCTCCCTGGAACGGGACTCAGTCCGCACATCATGTGTGGCCCCCCACCCCGAGACGCGGAGTGGAGATGGTCATGTGAGCATTTGTCTTTGCCTGTCACGTATCTCTAAAGTTAGGGAACGACACCTAGGTGCATGCGTCTGTGGGGGAGAGTGCAGGAATGAGTAGCCGTTCCTCTCGGTCCCTTCTCGCGATGTGACAGGGTCCCGAGAGCCATGGTGTCTGTGTTGGTGTAACTGGGCTTGTGTATTTAAAGCTAAAAATCCTGGTTGGCCGAGCAGTTGGTGTGAGCTTTGAGCGACGTGGTGCCCTTGGCTGTGGGTGACATGTCAGGGTGTGGACTTGGTTCTGTCCCCTGGATCACTTTCTTCTTTGTGAGCCAGGAAAGTAGACAAGCTGTGGGCCCTTGTGTGTGTGGGTCCTCATGCGGGAGCCTACCTCTTCTTCCTGTCCCACAGTTGTTCTTGTCTCAGCGTCCATGTCACCAGTGGATACCACTGGCTGGTCAAGTTTGTTAAATTCCTGAAAGAAAACACCGGGGAGGTGGCTCTGGGAGCAGGAGGAGGGCTGGTCTCCGGCCAGCAGCCTGTCCCTGTCCGGGTGCTGCTGACATCCTTTATCATCATCATTCTTTTGGAGAGGGAGGTGGGGAATGTTGCCTTAGTGGTTTAAAAAAAAGTCAGAGAACCTATGATGGTTTCTGAGGCTAGTGGCTGAGTGAACAAAAGGCAGGCGGGTGCTGGGCAGATCCGAGCGGTGAGCCTGGGCGAGGGTGGCAAGTGTGCTTACTCTGGTCCTTGCCACCAGGGCCCCCTCCCGTCGGTCCTGGGCTGTGACGATCACCCCCTTCCATGTGCTTTGTTAGTTACTGATAAACAAAAGAGTGGGAGAGCAGGGATTGGAGTTTGTGGCGCAGCAGAGAGGGCGTCCCCCACAGGACAGGACCTGCCAGCTTCCCAGAGTGGTTTGCTGTGCAGAGCAGGCCAGCCAGGGCGCCGGCCGCAGCTTGCTTGCAAAGAGGAGGCAGCTGCAGGAACCCTCGGCCCCTGGAGCTGGAGACGGGCCCCTCCCTGGGGCCATGAGAGCGGGGAACAGGGGCCTTTCCGTCCTGGAACCACCTGGGCTGAGTTCCTTTGAACTGCAGGGCCCAGATGTGGGCCTGGGAGCTCATGCAGGTCAGGGAGGCCGCTTCTGACCTGGGGGCCTGTGGGACCCTCAGGATTGCCCTGGTCTAGAGGCAGCCCCAAGTACTTGAGACAATATACCTTCTTGGAAGGTTCTGGCAAAAGCAGAGTTCTGGTGCCAGATGGCAGAGAACCTGGTTAGAGGTGACCCTTGTGGGCGCAGAGCCTTTGGGGCTGAAAGTTTGCTCTGTCCCGGTTGTCACAGCAGCTTTTACGTGAAAGCCCTGTCAGTGCTCAGAGATGTCGACAGGCCTGCTGAGGGTGCTGGCCCTGGCTCAGAGGAGCGCTGGTTCTGGCTGGAGGTGGGCCCAGCTGTTCTGGGCACTCTCCCTGGTGCTGCCCAGAGCCTGGCCCCTCCTTTTCCTACTGCCTTCTTTTGGCCTGGAGTCACCAAGGATGCCCACCAGGACATGGTGACTCTGTGAGCTTGATGGCTGGGGGAGGGGGCGGGCAGAGAGGAAGGGCGGAGGGGGGGGCTGGAGTGTGTAGGCAGCACAGAGCCAAGCTGACCTCCCTCCGGATGGGGCCCATGCCTGGCGATCGCCACACCGTTGGGAATGCTCGTTTGCATGGCCCAGCACTGGGCACACAGCAAGACAAAGTATCTGCAGACGGACACTGTGCCAGAGTGCCAGCAAGGTCCTCTTGGCCTCCTGCAGCTGCCCTGATGGCAGTAGGCACACTGGTGGGGCCAGCTCCTCCTGGATGGGCTGGGCGTGCCATGTGACATGGTGAAAGCTCAGGCCCCACCTGGTGACCTTCTCGGTCAGCACCACGTGGCCCAGAGCAATGGAGTGACAGGGGGTGGGGACTGGCCCAGGGGCTGGGTGTCCCTGTCACCTGATCGGCCGGCAGGGCACTGGCAGCCAGTAGGACGCAGTCAGTAGCCAGGCTTTCTGGGAAGACCAACACTGCACTGGCCCGAGCCCTGGAGGCCTGGCCCAGGTCCGCCTGCTGTCGGCTTTTAGCTGTGGAAAGCCGGCAGGAGAGCCTGCAGGTGCCGCTGGCCTCGCTCCAGCCTCAGCTCCCAGGCCGCCTCCTATGGCTTTCCTGTGAACTCCCTCATGAATAACGGAGCAGTTGAGTGTCTACTTTAACGGGAATTTTGTGGTGAGAGTTGATAGGAAAATGGTCTTTGGGAGCTGGCATCATTAGATTAGTCAGCCCCCAAAATGCCATTTCCCAGAGGGGTGAGAGCAGTGCCCCCGGGGCCTTCTGCTCCTAAGACCTCAAGGCCATTCTCTCTGGGGACCCCCCTGGGCAGCCCAGCCAGAGGCTGCTAGTCTGGGGTGGGGGCGTGTCTCGAGGCCTCAGAGTGCTTTCTGTCATTCATGAATGCTGAGTTTCATTTCTCAAAACGTCGCTTTAAAAACAAAACAAAACGAGAGAGGGACGTGTTTCACTTGAAATGCTTTTGCTCTCAGACTCCGCGCAGAGCTCGCATCAGAGAGAACAGAGACAGGACCCCGCAGGGCAGCGCAGCTCCGGGCACTTCCAACACCCCCCCTCCTGCCAGCGTTGCTGGCGCCATCCCACCCTCCCTGGCTCTCACCATCAGGAACACGTGTGCTGTCTTGTGCCAAGAGAGGCTTTACCATTCGCTTCATCCCTTTTCCGTTTTTAAATTTGCCCACAAAAGTGCAATGTTCTTTTAATCAGACGGCATGAAAGTGACCGGAGGACGGCTGTGAGCAGGCCCTGTCAGGACCAGCACAGGCAGCAGTAAACGCGCAGGGTTGGGCATCTGGTCTCAGGCCCCCCTCCTGCCACCCCGGGTGCTGCATCTGCAGCCCCACCTTCAGGGTGTTCTGGTAACTGCAGGGGCTTGTCCTGGCAGCGTGGAGCTGGCCAGCGTGTGTAGTGGGCCATGCACCATGCACCGAGCGGGCGGGCAGTGATAGGTCCTTGAAGGACTGGCATTCTGTGTTGCTTGGGTGGTGGCGGGGTGCGAATGTGCTCACGCGGTGACCTAGATGTAGGCACACACGCCATATGGCCTGAGCTGCTGCTGGACCCGCTGTGGGCTCCCACCCACACTCACGCCTGGCTTCACACCTTGATGGTGTTGGACGTCGATCTGAGGCTCTGGCAGAAGCCATCTGGGGCCTCTTCTTTTTCCCCATTTTGTTCCCTAAAAGCTGCACATTAGAGGAGCAACCTGAGCTCCAAGGCCGGCCCCTCCACCTCCCCGCTTCTCATCAGACCCAGGGCTGCCCTCCCACATTCCCTCTGCTGTGCCAGCTCAGACACTCCCTTATGTGCAGGTGCCTGCTTGACAAGGCCCCAGGGGTCCCTTGGGCTCCCAGTGGCTTAGGGAGGCTCTGAGTCATGGTGAGCCAGGCCCACCGCTCTGAGGGCCCGACTGCTTCCATGTCCCTGTCGTCTTACTGAGCTGACTTGTGGCAGCCCTTCAGCCTCTACACCTGCTGGATTTGCTGAGTCCTGAGAGTAACTGGCTTCATCCCTGTCCCCTGAGGATGGCCAGGGGCTCCTGTGGAGCTGGAGGTGCTGGCGTGCCCCGGGGCGGGTCAGACACAGCGCTCTCCTGGGAAGTGCACACGCTGCCTCTCCCCCACAGCCCTCCTGGGAGACGCCCATGGTCTGTGTCCAGCTTCCTCCAACCTTGGTCTCCGTCCCCAAGTGAAGATCCCCAACCTGCCTCCCAGTGGCGTTTCCTCTCCCTGCAGCTGAGTTTCCTTCTCTTTCCAGGCCCCTGGAGGCCCTGGAGTGGCGGGGGATGGGGTGGATGCGGGGGACCCTCTGCAGCTTCTCTGTGCGGTGCGCTCAGTGTCTCGTCCTTGATATGCTGTCTTGGCTGCTTCGTAGGACACTGCACCCACCTCGCATGTGTCCCCGCTCCCTCTGAGGAGCACCTGCAGGCCCAGGCCTGCCCACTGGCCGCAGGTGCAGGTGCTGCCCAGGTTCCTGTGAACAGGGCCCTGCTGGACATGCCAGGGATGCTTCTCAATTTTGGTTTCAAGGTTGGAAGGAAATTGAGTCAGAAGAAAAGCTACTTAAATGCCCTGTGAGGAGTTTCAGCTCTTGAGGTTGGCTCTGCCACGGGTGAACAAGACCACGCCCTTGGGAACGTGCCTCTGGCTCTTCCTTATTACGGCCTGATTTTGGCGTGTTTAGCGTTTTGTGTGACCTCCTTTTATTCCCACCCTTGCTGTGGCGGTTTGCTGAGGCCCTGAAGCAGGTTAGTGGTGAGGGCTTCCTCCTCTCACGTGCACCCGCCAGGTCTCACAGTTGGTGAGAGCTGTGAGCGCGCTGCCTCCGCTCATGCAAGTTCTGCTGCGCCTGCCTCAGAACTCCCTGAGCCGCCACGAAAGCCAGAGAGGCCGCAGCCAGGCCCTGACTCCTCAGAGCGTCAGGAGCAGAGAGGGATGGGTTTGGCGTGGCCCC